CGCATATATATGTGCAAATATATCCGTATCCACACACACACACTCACATTCACATTCACACACACTCACACAGAAAAACAAAAATCATGTCCAGATGAACGAAAGTCAACATATATAATGATAGGGTACTTTCTCGTACTTTGGAACTGAATTCTGAAAACAACCGATGCTTATAATGAGAAAATGATCCACTTGGCAACGGTCTTTGCCTAATTGCAAATTATATATTCAAGGAACCTATTCATTCTCAACAAGGCCAACGTATCAGCTGGATAGAATAAGTTATAAAAATGTGTCAAGTTTAGACGCTTTGCTGATTAAACAGCTTCGTGCGATTACCTCTCCCTCCATTCATTCGGCCAAAAGTCAAATTACAGGATATGGCGTCAACTTCGGCCATATATACGAAGGAATCTTGGTCAACGGCATCACAAACGGCCGCTTGTCTGGGTGACAGGTCCTGACAGCGTCGGTTCTCTCTCTCACCTGCTGTCATTATCACCGCTATGCCACTCCAAGCTCTCTTCCGCACCGGCCTCTTCGTTTTACTTTTCGTTCGAGAAGGCATGGCCCGGGGAGAGCCTCTGGTGAGGTTCTCTGTGGTTCCCGCGCCTCCTCTCTCGCTGAGCTATCAGGCTCCTTCGCAGGACGTGGTCTACGAAGGCCCTGAAGCCCCTGACAGTTGGCTGCAGGAGGAGCAATTCTCCGTCTCCCACTTCCTGCAGCAGTTCTTCGCTCAGTTTGAGTTCATCCCGTCTCCGGTGATGAGCGAGACCCCCGAAGCCCCCCTCGCGTGCGTGGACTTGCAGGTGGAGCCCGTGAAGACGGTCCTTCCGCGCCACAACGGGATTATACCCGCTTGGCTGGAAGACGCCACTCTGACCGGTGAATGCCCCTGGAGACTGGCGAGGAGGCAGTTGCCGGCAGGAATGATTCCTCCCTCCGTCCTGGAGGTGGAGTGCCTGTGCAAGGGCCAGCGGTGCTTCCACGGGGGAGACTTCCGCTGCACGCCTGTTGTCCGCGAGGTGACAATCTGGATGGAAGACGCCCTCGACCGGGAAGTGTCCAGCGTGGACCGCATGCGACTCACGGTGGGCTGCGTGTGCGCTCAGCGTCGCGGTGGCCGAGCTGGTCAAGTCGAACACGCGATTCTGACGTAGGGCTCTCGCCTTCTGCTTTGACCTCCTGACCAGCCTGGCCTCCTCATGAAGTTATGTACACACCGAGAAATACCATGTAGCTCATGTTTGTAAAGTGTATACTCTGCCTTTAAATTGTTTCTAAATTATATTTTTGTTCCCCATAGTCTTAAGCTTGTTAAGTTTGACGCTGATAATCTGGGCCTTCGTCAGAGTCAACCTTATCAACCAGACATCCCTCCGGTATCAACCACCTCTAAGTTCCCGACTCAAAGTTCCGGAACGCAGCTCGCATAACTGTACTACACAATAAATGCAGATATGCTTACGCTCGAATAGATATGCTTATATGTGCAGCACCTAATAAGGGTTGAAGACTATACCACCGAAAGATGGTATAATCGTGTCAGTGAATCAGTATGGTAGATGCTTTGCCACAACCTCCCCCCAAAATGTAGCAATCCTCATTCCATGAAGACAACGGAATTAGGATTGTACAAACTTGTGAGGGCGGTGTTGCGTTCGAAAACAAGGTTGCTGAACTAGTTTTCAACTTTCCTGCTTAGCTTTACTACTTTTGACATCACTTAATTGATCGTGAACAACTACCATTATATGAACATATCATATGATGTTGGAACACACGCTTCGCAGCCAATATGATGAGATAAAAAATAAAGTCCAATAAAGGCTTTGCAACTTGCACTGCAGTTTATTGATACCTTACTCAACAAAAAGAAATTTAGTCTGAGTGACACACGGCAAATGCAAATGTTTAGTATTTTATCTTACTAACATATCCTAATCTTTGATTGCTTGAGCGTTGACTACATTTACACAATTTCGTCATCGCATAAGTCAAATAGTAAACACACACACACACGAACACACAAACACTTACAAACACACATTCACCATTAAAAACATATGCATGTATATGTATAAAAGCAAACACTCACTCAACCCTTTCCCCAACACGCGCTAGAACAGGGCACTTATGAACTATCAGTCAAGTGGTCTATAACATGAAATCGACTGATTTTATTGAGTGAAATGACTTAGCATCTTTCTCTTCTTCATCATTAGCAACATCTTCGCCATCATCATCATTAGCAGTATCTTCATCGTCCTCCGCCTCGTCATCATTAGCAGCATTTTCATCTTTCTCATCATTATCATCATCAGCAACATCTTCATCGTCCTCATCTTTATCATCATTTGCAGCATCTTCTTTTCCTCATCATTATCATCATCATCATCTTCATCGTCCTCCTCATCATAATTAGCAGCATCTTCGCCATCATCATCACCATGCCTTTAGACAGATCTGAATTCCCTTAAAAAAAAACCCCACAGACATTGATGACATACTAATGCTGGCAAATCTAATAACAGTATAATATATGAATAAGATAAATAACAACACAACGAGAGGTATTCATTCTCACAATGAACTTTGATGATAGCGATGATGGTAAGGGTGAGAATGGTGATTTTGAAGTTGATAAGGGTAGGGATGATGATGTTGAAGATGCAATTGATGATAATGAAGGTGGTTTATGATAATAATGATGATAATTAAGGTGGTTTATGATAATAATGATGATAATGATAATGATAACAGTAATGATAACGTAAAAAAAATACTCAAAATAATAACAATGGTAGAGAACAACAATATGAACATAAAATTGACACTAACGATAATAGCGTTAAACATAAAGCTAACAGCTACAGCAATTATGATTTTGATAACGCCCTAAAGAGAGAGAGAGAGAGAGAGAGAGAGAGAGAGAGAGAGAGAGAGAGAGAGAGAGAGAGAGAGAGAGAGAAGAGAGAAGAGAGAGAGAGAGAAAACAGCCGAGGAGAGAGAGACAGAGAGAGAGAGAGAGAGAGAGAGAGAGAGAGAGAGAGAGAGAAGAGAGAGAGAGATGAGAGAGAGAGTGAGAGAGAGACGAGAGAGAAGAGAGAGAGAGAGAGAGAGAGAGAGAGAGAGAGGAGAGAGAGAGAGAGAGAGAGAGGAGAGAGAGAGAGAGAGAGAGAGGAGAGAGAGAGAGAGAAGAGAGAGAGGAGGGGGGGGGAGGGGAGAGAGAGAGAGAGAGAGAGAGAGAGAGAGAGAGAGAGGAGAGAGAGAGAGAGAGAGAGAGAGAGAGAGAGAGAGAGAGAGAGAGAGAGAGAGAGAGAGAGAGAGAGAGAGAGAGAGAGAGAGAGAGAGAGAGAGAGAGAGAGAGAGAGAGAGAAGAGAGGAGGGAGGAAGAGAGAGAGAGAGAGAGAGGAAGAGAGAGAGAGAGAGAGAGAGAGAGAGGAGAGAGAGAGAGAGAGAGGAGAGAGAGAGAGAGAGAGAGAGAGAGAGAGAGAGAGAGGGGGGGGGGGGAGGGAAGAGAAAGAGAGAGAGAGAGGGAGAGAGAGAGAGAGAGAGAGAGAGAGAGAGAGAGAGAGAGAGAGAGAGAGAGAGAGAGAGGAGAGGGAGAGGAGAGGGAGAGGGAGAGGGAGATGGAGAGGAGAGGAGAGAGAAGAGAGAGAGAGAGAGAGAGAGAGAGAGAGAGGAGAGAGAGAGAGAGAGAGGAGGAGAGAGAGAGAGAGAGGGGAGAGAGAGAGAGAGAGAGGAGAGGAGAAGAGAGAGAGAGAGAGAGAGAGAGAGAGGGGAGGGAAGGGAGAGGGAGAGAGAGAGAGAGAAGAGAAGAGAGAGAGAGAGAGAGAGAGAGAGAGAGAGAGAGAGAGAGAGAGAGAGAGAGAGAGAGAGAGAGAGAGAGAGAGAGAGAAGAGAGAGAGAGAGAGAGAGAGAGAATGAGAAAGAGAGAGAGGGGGGGGGAGAGGGAGAGAAAGAAAGAAAGATGCAGCAGCAGCCACAATACCTGGACCCAAGCGCCACCTCTCCTTTAGACCTCATCCGGCTCATCAGTGTAAAGAGCGCACTCGAGCTATCAAAGAGAGTCAACACGATGACCCGGGTGTGCTATAGTTCCTCTCGTCATTATTCGTGCTCTGTGTTGACTCCCGCCCTTGCTCTTCTCCGTGGGCGCGACAAGGCTTGTTTTGTTTTGTTTTATTTCATGTTTGGTCTGTGAACGTCTGTCTGTCTTTTTGACTCTCTTTCTTTCCCCCTTCTCTTCTCTCTCTCTCTCTTTCTCTTTACCTTCTTGCTCTTGCTCTCCCCCTCCTTCCTTCTCTCTATCTCTCTTCTCTCCCTCTTCCTCATTCTCTCTCTCTCTCTCTCCCTCTCTCTCAGTCTCTGCTTAACCAGAGCTTGTATTTCTTTTATATTTCAATTAAAAAGTAACACCACAAGTTTCAAAACACAAAAGAAATAACACGATCTCTACAGATATCACAAAGGAATCGGAAATTGTTTACAGGCAGGTAAGATAACAGTAGACAACGATGAGTAAAAGAACAACAGCAAGAGCAAAAGGAACAAGTGCACACACTACTCCCTCCCTATCCTTTCCATAAGCCCGCATGAGTGCCGCGCATCCACAGGGGGCGCTGGGGGGGGGGGGGGGAGAGCAAGCAGGGGGCATGAGGGGAGGCAGGTGAGTTAGATGACGAGCCCGGCACTTCCATCCTTCAGGTACGGGGTGGCAGTTGCGTAGAGGTTGCGTGCTTGTGTCGTTTTGTTTGGGCGTTCTAGGCATCGTAGATAAGGGTGTTTCCCGTGCTTGAGTGTCGCTTTATTTGGGCGTTCGTGGCCTCGTGGATAAGGGTGTTTTTAAGGAATGCTTTACATGCGTCGTCTTGTTAGATCGTGGAGGAAGTGAAGGACAGCTGTAGTGACGCGATGTCTCGGTGTCCAGTGCTGATTTTTGGAGAGTCTTAGCTACTGGGAACAGGAGGAAAATCCGTATTACACTGCTGTCGAGCATGGTCACAACATGGCACTCTGATGGCCATGAAGTAGGCCACGTGGCTTCTCTGGTGGCCATGTCCCTCCTCACCGCCTTCTCGCTGTTGGCCAACCTGCTGGTGACGGCGGCGGTGCTAGGAAGCCCGCAGCTCAGGACAACGTGGAACAACTGCTTCGTTCTGAATTTGTGTCTGACGGAGGCGGCGGCTGCGGTGGTGGTGCTGCCGCTCTCCGTCACCGCCTTCGTCAGCGAGCCCGAAGAGCTGGCCCCGGGGCTCTGCGTCCTTGCGCACTTTTTCCACTCCTGTCTGGTCAACGTCATTACTTGGACGCTCTGCCTCATTAGCGTGGACAGGTGAGCAAGGGGGTATCTTCCTTATTTTATTTATTATCATTGTTATTATCATTATCAATGTTGCTCTCATTATTATTATAATCATTATCATTATTGCTATTAGCATTACTATTATAACCATTATCATTATTATTATCATTATTATAATCATCATCAACATTATCATTATTGTTATCCTCATTTTCGTCATCATTATCGTTACTGTGGTTATCACCATAATAGTCATCATCATCATTTTACAAGGAATGCTCATTTACTTATCTTCTCACGTATTTTCTTTTTCACCAGATTAATTGTTCTGGCTCTTTTGTCTGATCAGTGTTCCCATACACGCAAATGGCAGTAGTGTGCATTTCCACAAGCTAAAAATGTAATACGACACACTAGCAAAAAGAGTGTGCCTTTGCTTCTTCACTGCTATATGTTGTCACTGTTGGCAGGCGATGAATTGTGTGTTGTCAGTGTGGGTAATTGTTTGTAGATGGCCTAATTCCTCCGTAATAAATCGAAATGAGTGCGAGTCATTCACCGTAAATGCAATGTTCATCTTGGTGCATTCTTTGTATCGATACTTCGTAGGCCTATCTATCAATCCGGCAGATACATAACAGTGATTCATCCATGAAAGCAACCTTATTAAATCATTAGAATCTAACCCATTTTCGTTTTATTTGATACATTTCATACGATTCGAATGAATCAATTCGCAAAGCATAAGTATCACTCATGTGTTTCTAAAACGGACGTAATTTAAAACCAATGATATATTATGAAAAAGACGTAGTGAAAGTAAGAAGTTTTCTCTTTCTTGTTTCAACCAATGCCTTCCATGTTCGAGAGTCGCACTGTAGAAAATAAATTCTTGCCACTGCACGGCACCAGCCTCCGTAAGGCACAGCATGACATACCAATCGCTGGCAGGCACTACTTGATCCTGATGCCCATGACACACGCTGCGGAGGTGACGCTGTTCCGGGCGCTGGTGGCGATCCTGGTGGTGTGGGTCGTCAGTGTTCTGCCTGCGGGTTACCTGATCGTCACTGCAGGTCGGCCATTGCGTTCGCATTTTACGACGGGAAAGGCTAGATCAGTAGCAACTCAAAGAGGTGTCATGGCGTCAGTTTTGATGGTTGTTCAATGAAAGTATAACCATTAAAATCATTATTTTCCATCCTTTTTGAAAACTGAAGTGACCAAAATGATCAACCATATTCACAAAGCATCCGTAACTTTCGTAACGTTATCAAAATAAACCCCATGTTTTTTTTTTCCAAAAATAGAATCAGACGCCATGACATCTCGAGTTGCTACTGATCTAGCCTTAACCATTTTACGACTTCGGATGTTCTGTTCTTGGTTTTATCTTTCTTCCTTCGTCTTCCTTTTTGTGGTCTGCGTTTCTTAGTTCTTTGGCATGTAACTACTTCTTGCATAGTATTGCGCATCTTATACATAATGATAAGGAAATTTTGATGGCGCATGATTAGGTGGCGAGGAGAGTGCATATTGAACAGCCCTTTCGCTTCTTTTCCTCCACAAAAAGAGCCATGGCGCGGGGGAACCGTGTGCTGCGCGTGGGGCCTGGGTGTGTCCTCGTCCAACACGGGTTACGTCCTGACTGTGGCACTCCTGGAGTTCCTAATCCCTGCCCTCACTATGCTCTCCATGTACGCGTCTATTTTCAGGTACTTATGATTTTCCTTTTCTGTATTTGGTTACGTTGATATACTGTTCCAAACTTGCGAGGTTCTACTGTGTCCTCGGAATCACAGACCGTTACATCATTAACAAGTCTACTCTTTAAGAAAAGCGGTTTCAACTTGCATAACACTTGGATGGGTGATGCCACTCGCATGACTTTGCAGGGTCGCCCGACGTGCGGTGCGGCGCGTGGTTCCCGTGACAACTCAAGTACGAACCATCAGCGAGAGAGTGACGAACAAGGAAGAGCCTCTCGTCGCCAAGAGCATCTTCTCCCTCCTCCCGGCAGTCCAGGGAACCGCCCTTCCCTTGGGCAAGGACGCCGTGGGGAAAACGAACGCAAGCGACCGTGCGACGGAGCAGGCCAGGGGAGGCGTCTTCGGGCTGGTGTCGCCGTTTCTGGGCCACGAGGCTAAGAAACCGGCGTCCGTTTTAACGCCGATAGACGGGCTCCTGGACAGCGTGACGTGGGTGGCCCGCACGCCTACGCCCACCTCGCCCTCCACCTCCGCCACGCTCATGCTCACCGCCTCGGCCTCCTTCGCGGAATCCTACCCCAAGGCGAAGCTCGGGAAAATGGTCAGTGGCAGGATGCGCTTTAACTCGGCCTTTTTATTCTGCCTCAAAAACATCCACTTGTGGATGGAGAGGTTTAGATACTGATCAGATCTAATTCGCAGAGAACGATTCGGGATTGATCGAATTCAGCTAAAACACACTCAAAGGAAAAACGACTCCTAAACCTCTCTCTCTTCTCTAAAGAACATTTTCCCTATTAGTTAAATGCAACTGGTTTTAAGTATACTCTGGCAAATCCTTCCTCTCCTCTCCAGGCGAGTAACTCCGGTCCCCGCGGAGGTTCTGGTCAAGGCAAGGCCAAGAAAGCTGCCCGGACTCTTTTCCTGGTGGTGGGGACGTTCTGGATCCTCTGCGGCCCTTATTACGTCTTCAACACGTACGTCGCTCTGGCGCACCTGGCTCCCGACGCATACAGGTGAGAAGCCACGTTTAGGTTAGACCTGGAAATGTAAAACTATAAGATATTCGATGGCTGCGAACAAACCTTTTTTTTGTGTTTATTTGAGTAGGATGTCGATGTGTGTCCGAAATAACAGTGCAAAGCAAAGATGCTAAGAAGACTTTCATGCGTATATGTGTGTGTTTTAGGCGTGTTTTTGAATGTGTAAGCAGTTGTGTTAGGTAAAGCAGCCATGTTTCGGACGTCTTTGTCTCCACACATTGTCACCCATACCCTCGCTTCGCAATAGTTTTTTTTTCTTCCCTTTCCTTCCCTTTTTCCCTTTTATATTTCCCATCACAGGCACATTGTTTGCACTTATATATGTGTAAAGTAGGGTACATTTGGAAAATAAAGAGTGGGGAATGTGTGAGTCGGGTAGTGTGTCGAACCTGTTAACCTTACAGAGTGTATTTTAAGGTGACGGCTGTATACTGCATGAAACTGGTTATTTATTGATGTCAGATACAGGAAAAATTGACATGGGACCAACTTCAACGTTTTGGAGAACCTGAATACTGTCATAAATAACCACGTTTGCAGCACAATAATAAAACGATAAGAAACGATAATGTAAAAAAAATAAGCCTTCACCTGGTCGCAGCGAAGCCATGGAGGAAGGGTTGAAGTTGCTGAAGGTCGCACTCGAGGAGCGGAGGAGCGTCGAGGTGACACTCAAGCAGCTGGAACAGACGCTGAACTACACCCTTCACAACGCTAGTCTTCCCTGTAGGATTAGCTCTCAGGTGTGTGGTTTGCGTTGGTATTCAGCGCCTGCGTGAGTGGACGTGCTTGGTGAATATTATTCGTCTGGTCAGTGCTTCGTGATGTCTGTTCGTGCTGCGTGTGTGTGTGTGTGTGTGCAGTATATGTAAGTTCAAGTATTCATTTATATAAGTCTGCCTACGCCTGTCACTTACTTATTGTTCCGTATGTCGCATTTTGTTGTACATCCCCCAGGGTCGTGCTCCTAAGGGCTAATCTTTCAAACACAATTGATCTTTCTCTTTATTCTGCCAATTTTCATGTCTGTCTTCTTATTCCATTTCTCCCTTTCCCTCCGTTTTCTTGTTCTCCAGTTTATCTTATTTTCTTTCTTTTTCTTCTATTGTTATTCTTTTCTCATACACTTCATATGTTTTATTTCATTTTTCTTCTGATCAATCTAAGTTTCTCGTCGCTTTGTTATTTCTCCTCAAATTTCCTATTTTTCCCTTCTCCCATTTTCCTCACCGTTCCCTCCTCTAACTCTCTCTCCAGGTGGGCGAGGAAAAGGCGCAGGTACTGGAGACTTTGGCTCATCTCACAGAATGGTTCCTCTATGGGTCCCTCCTCATCAACCCTTTCCTCTACGGACTCCTCAATCGAGCCATTCGGACGCAGCTCTTTCGGTGAGATTCGCACGACTCGACGATGGTAATTCGTTCGAGTTATTTGAGAATTGACTTTGGTTGTGCTTACCTGTGGTATTGATGCTGTTTTTTTATTTATTATTCTTGGGTGAGTGTTGCGATTCGAAAGATGTCTAGAAGGAGTGTTCTTGCGTTGAGCTTCACCTAATATTCTCGAAAAAAAAAAAAACAGAATGAACTAGATGTTTGCGTTACAAAAGACCTTTTCTGTGTTAAAATAAAAGTACAAAAACGCTTACAGGCTGATGGAGAGCGCTTGGAATGCCTGCTGGGGGTGCGGTCGCGACAACAAGGTCACGCCCTCAGATGCCTATGTGTCGGAGGAGGAGGAGGGTGAAGCAGAAGGTGTGGAGGATGACCTGCCCGACCAAGAGAGCCTCGAAAATATCCTAGAGTTCCTTCAGAGGACTGCAGACAAAGGTCAAATTGTCAAGGACAAGGTGAGGATGCTCAGCCATTTTGTAGATTAATCTTGTCTTCTTTAGTTAATTTAATACGAAAGTCTTTAAGAAACAACACTATTTTGGCAAGAAGACTGAAACGACACGACCTGATTTAAGCTTTTAATGTTTCAGATCATTAAAATGTATCCTAAGTTTAGAGTAAAAAGTGCTGAAAATGGTAGATAATTTGATTAATAATACCACTAAGTATGGGAATATACCTTTATTAGATATGACTTTATTTGCACGGGGAAATTATTCACGAAGCACCTGTGTATGCTTCCGTGATAGGGAATCGCATGGTATATTAAGTTTAAAAATTAAGTATAGAAACAATACTTTCCGAAGTAAGAGGATTTAAGGTGTGATTCAATATTATTCAATTAGATTTTTTTTTGATAGTCTGATGGTTAGCTAATAATTGTCCACTTTCTTTTCATTACATTTTATGTATCCTCTACCTCTTTTATTATGCATGAATAATTATGAATACATATCTGAAACTACTAATTAAGACATACCATTCTTCGCCTAACTTTCAGGAGCCGCCACGAAACATATTGGATGTTTCCAGCAACTGCCCCTCGATACTGTGAAGGAGTAAAACGCTTATTCATCTGGCAACCCGGTTTTGGCTGCATACGTGTGGCAATTTGTGTGGTGGGATGTTCTAGTGTATTTATTCATAGATGTGTAAATGTAATGCAATCTAAAGCTGGTCATTTAAATAGTGTATGATACCTTCGTATCTTTTATAATATGGTATACGACGCATAGGAACTGATATATATATATTTATGTATATGTGTGAGACTGATTGTCTGTGTGCATACCTTAGCGTGTGTTTTTGATGTGTATGGTCTTGTGTATCCATTTTTTCTGCATCTGTATGTATCCGCAAATGTTCGAGATTGGGTGTCAGTTGATATTTGTATAGACAGACCGAGGGTTCCCCTGTTTCAATGATGGCACTCGAACAGCCGTTCTTGAACCTAATTCACAGTGCACTTTTACCTGTATCACAAATTACTGCATCTCGAAACAAAATAAACATAGGATATATACACAAAGGGGAGATAAAGAGTTCACCATAACATTTATAGTAAATTCAAATGCCAACCCCTATGTCTTGCAGTCCACCGCGACAGTTTGGTAACCACTGAGATAGATACATAGGCCAATGCACCGGTAAACACAACATACTTAAATGAGAAAACGTGCTGTTACGTATGTGAAATTAAGATAACCCAAAGACTATTCTAGCAAGTGCATTTCTGTCGCGGCCACAACTCCTCCTAGCCATGGGACGCAGATCTCGCTGTGGTGTAACCGACCACAACGTCGGTGTTGACGCAGTTGGTGACTCTCAGTTCTTGCTGGATATCGAGGATGACCTGACAGGTCGAGGCCGTCGGGCACGGCTTCTGAAGGAAGAACAAGTACACTTCATCGGGACATGTCGCTATATCGCTGCTCTTTGGCGCTCGAGTCTTCTGCCTCTTCATGAAAGACTCCAGCATGGGACGCAGACTTTGCTTCACGAGCGGCTGGATCCATCGTTCGGTCTCGCCGAAAGTCTGACCGATATCTGAACGCGTGTAACCGAACTGGTCTTGGAAATGGTCTTTGATGAAATCCAGAACAGTGGACTGGAATTTGTTGCTGTTGGCGAAGGTATTCTGGCTCTGTTGCTGGGGCCTGGCGGTGTCTCCAGCGAAGAGCTTCCTGACGGAGATGGCGAGATCGCGGCTGTTGGAGGCTTCCAGGGGCGCGACGTACAATGGCGTCGCGATGGCATAATTGGGCCAGTTGAGTTTCTTCTTCTTGGCCAGGACGGTCTCCTTCTGCGTCAGAGCTTGGTCCAGCAGCGGCCACAAGGGCAGGCCATGTTCGTACCAAGTGTAGCCATTGCTCAGCGGGACCTCAGCGTCCACGAACCAGTTTGCCGTGTTGATGACGTCACTAGCCTCTCCCGCTTCCCACCTGACCTGATCGCTGAAGCTGTCGCGGTGGAGGTTCAGCGCCGCCGCCTGCTCCGTGCGCTGCCGGGGAGACGAGGCACAAAAGGTCACTTCAAAGGAAAATATTGACCTCTTCATCGGCAAATGAAGAAATAAATAAAGATGGCTGAAAAATATTGGAAATGAAATAAATGCAATGAACATATAAATGTTGCCTGTTCCTGAACCTTTACTTAATTTGAATTGTAGTAGATACTCTTTCGATGTATATTATTAACAGCATTCAGATCATGTTTATTACATTATAACTACATACACCATGAAAGCCTCAGATATGAAAAAGATCGAAGAAGCTGCATGAAAAACAATAAAATATCCAACGCAACGTAGACCAAGAACTAATTAATGATTAAGCTGTAGGGCCAAACATACAACAAACAACACTATTAAACTACACATATATGATATCTAAATAATTGAAATACAGATCTAAGCTAGGAATAGGAATCAGGAATAACAGCATGCTCAGGAAACCGGGTATAAATCATGAACACAAACCGAAGACATTCCTAGACAACAGTAGCTACAGCATATAGTAAACATACAACACACAAACAAGAGTTAGTA